TAGGGAGGGGTCTAAGAGGACCCTAGGTTGTGTGACCAGGTGGATGGTAGTGCCAGTCATCAATGCGGGGAGTCCTGGAGGGGATCTTGGAAGTAAAGATACAGAGAGAGTTCGGCTTGCATGCTGAATTTGAGCTCCTTGTGGGATACGGGTGATACCCAGGAGGTAGATGGAGCCATGAATCTGTAGCTCACATAAGTGGACCAGGCACGGATGTAAAGGCGTGAATAGACATTATGAGTTGGGCCGAGTAAATGAAGGAAGGAGAGGAGGCGACGGGTGAGGTTCTAGAGAATACCAATGTTAAGGAGGCACAGAAGTCAACTGAGGAGTAGCAGCCATACACAGAGGGGAGAAGGGAACTGACGTGAAGGGGTTCTTGGGAAATAAGGAGAGAGAAAAGTGTCAAGAAAGCGGGAAGGTCAACAATGGCCCATGCTACAGAGGCCAAAGAGGATGAGACACAAAAATTGGTCTTCGCTTTAGAGGCTGTTGGTGATCTCGGGGAGGGCAATGTCTTTGGAGTGGAGGGGGGTGAGGAGGCAAAGTGCCACAGACAAGGGAGGGGTGAATGGAGGTGATGAAGGGAAGGTGAGAGGAGCCCATGGTCTCCAGAAGGAAGGGAGTGGTGTAAGCTGTGGAATGAACATTTTGGTTTTTTAAATTAACGTTTTAATTTTTTTGTGATAAAATATGCATAACATAGAATTTACCGTATTAATAATTTTAATGTACACTTAAGTATTGTTAAGTACAGTCCTACTGTTGTGCAACCAATCTCCAGAACTTTCTCATCTTGCAAAACTGAAACTCTATACTCATTAAATGACAGAATTTGCTTTTAAGAATAAGAACTATTTGAGTAATTTTTATGTTTAGGGGGATGAACCACTACAGTGTGAGAGGAGGAAGGTATAGGAAAAATGAAAATCCTATCATTCTAACTAAGAACTCATAAAACACCATATCATCATGAAAGGAAAGACAAATATTTTTACCACTTTCTAACAACTCCCTTCATTTCTCTGAGTGCAGTTTTTATTTTCTACTTTCTGGTCCAAAAAAATAAAATGAATAATGATAATTTTTTTCAGAAACAGAATTCATTTTGTATGATAAACCCTCAATCCTTTAAAAAGACAGACAGATACAGATACACACACACATACACACACACACACACACACACACACACACACACACAAGAAAAAAATAGAGACACACAAATTTCCATCTCTTTTGTAATTATTCTTGTATAAATGGAAAGTAATATTTACTTAACCATAGTGTTTTCATGATGCTGAAAAGGGGGTGTAAACCTGGACAATTTGATTAAACTATAGCATGGAGAATGTTACCATAAAAAGTATTTAGTGTTGTCAAGATGTTCATGTAGGCTGGGTGTGGTGGCTTATACCTGTAATCTCAGCACTTTGGAAGGGGAGGTGGGAGGATTGCTTGATACCAGAAGTTTGAGACCAGCCTAGGCAACATAGCAAGACCTCATCTCTACAAAAAATAAAAAAATTAGCCAGGCATGGTGGTGCACACCTATAGTCCCAGCTACTTGGGAGCCTGAGTTGGGAGTATTGCTTGAGTGCAGGAGTTTGAGGCTGCTGTAAGCCACAACTGCACTCCCATCTAGGCAATAGAGACTCCCACTCAAAAAAAGAAAAAAGAAAAAAAAGTTCAGGTAATATGGGTGGGGGCTGGGTGTGGTGGCCCAAGTCGGTAATCCCAGGACTTTGGATGGCCATGATGAGGGGATTGCCTGAGCCTATGGGTTCAAGAACAGCCTGGGCAACTTGGCGAGACCTCGTCTCTATAATAAATCAAAAAATTAGCCAAGTGTGGTAGCGTGTGCCTATAGTTCCAGTTTTTTGGAAAGCTAAGGTGGAAGGATCGCCTGAGCCCAGCAGGGCGATGCTGGGGTGGCCATGAGTGTGTCACTACACTCCAGCCTGGATGACAGAGTGAGACTCCAACTCAAAACAACAACAACAACAACAACAACAAAATGGTTGGAGGTTAAAACTATATTTCTATTACCGTATATTAATTTCTGACGAACTTCAAATATTTCTGACGTGTTAGTTATTATGAGAGTTCACCTCTACCGGTTAATTCAGGAGTTGAGTTCTAGGACACTTTACTTTTGCTCCCTTCTTTCTCTCCCTGATGAAATGGAAAGAGAATGAGTTAGTTGTCAAAGTAACCTGCCGTTGACAGCATCCAAGTAGAACATGATGGGAGCTGCTTAGAATTTTAATTTTGCTAAAATCGACACTCATGGCCACAGTGCCTGAGTTGGGGGCTCTCATGGCCACTCAGGCACTGTCTGTTTCTCCTGCCCAACCCCTCAGACACTCGGGATCTTTCCTTTGACCATCTTGTCATCTTTCGAGCTTTGATGGTCTGGTTTCTATTTTGTAGTTCACAGGCTATTTTGTAGGCATGCTCTCCTTCAGATTTTCCCCCCAAAACAATGTACAAGAGCAGTCATAAATCCATTATAAAAATTGTTGATTTTTTTTTTTTTTTTGAGTTGGGCACAACTCTGTCATCCAGACTGGAGTGCAGTGGCCGCTCCCGGCCACCGCAGCCTCGACCTGCGGGGCTCCGGCGATCCTTCCGCCTCAGCCTTCCAAGTAGCCGGAATTACAGGCATGCGCCACCACGCCCAGCTGATGTTTTGATTTATTGTAGAGATGAGGTCTCGCTGCCCAGGCGGGTCTCGAACCCGCAGGCTCAGGCAATCCACTCACCTCAGCCTCCCAAAGGTGCTGGATTACAGGCTGAGCCACCGAGCCTGGCTAAAATTGTTGATTTTTATACACATATCATCATCTCATTTAAAAGCAATTCTACCACAATAGGACAAATATCAAATCCATATTCATAAGTAGAGATGTAGTTTAAAGTGGCTCTGGGTCGGATGTGGTGGCTCAAGCCTATAATTCCAGCATTTTGGGAAGCCGAGGCAAGAGGATTGCCTGAGCCCGCGGGTTCGAGAGCAGCCTGGGCAACATGGTGAGACCTCGTCTCTACAATAAATCAAAACAATTAGCCAGGTGTGGTAGCGCATGCCTATAGTTCCGGCTACTTGGAAGGCTGAGGCAGAAGGATCCCTGGAGCCCAGCAGGCCGACGCTGGGTTGGTCGTGAGTGTGCCTCTGCCCTCCAGCCTGAGCGATGGAGTGACACTCTGACTCAAAAAATAAATAAATAAAATAAAGTAAAACAAAGTGGCTCTGGTGAAGGCATTCATTAGATTTCTCACTTAGCATAAATAGTTGTTATTATAAATGCAGAATCCTGTAACTACGAACCATTTAGTAAAAAAAAGTCTTGTTATATAGCTCCAGATTTATTAGGGCATCAAAAATTTATTGAGCACATACCATGTGGTCCTGTACAAGTTAACAGAGATGCCTAAACTAAAAAAGTTATCTCTTGCCCTTATTAAAGTATGACTGAAAGTTTAATAGGGAATATATTTTCTTTTCTTTTTTTTTTTTGAGACTCTGTCGCCTGGGCTGGAGTGCAGCGGCATGCTCATGGCCACTGCAGCCTTGACCTGCTGGGCTCAGGTGATCCTTCCACCTCAGCCTTCCAAGTAGCTGGAACCACAGGTGTGCACTATCATGCCTGGCTAAATTTTTGATTTATTGTAGAGACTAGGTCTCGCCAAGTTGCCCAGACTGGTCTCAAATCCCTGGGCTCAGGTAATCCCCTCACCTCGGCCTCCCAAAGTGCTGGAATTACAGGCTTGAGCCACCACACCCCGCCAGGAATATATTTTCTATATAGAGCCCAAAACAATTATTAGCGTTCACAAATTTAATGGTTTCTATGCAGAAAATATGTAGAAAAATAGTACACTTGGCTTTAGATGCAGATTATCACACTGGAAAGGCGGTATAGAAAAAGCATGAACTAGGATTGCGGAAACCAGTTCTACAGTTCTGCTCTGCTGCTATTCATTCATTAGTCTGACCATTCCTCAGACGTTTACTGAGAACCCATACTGTGTAAGAAACTGAGTTAGGTGCCAAGGTGGGGGAGAGTGGAGGGGAGGGAGAGACATGGTAGCAAATAAGAAAGACTAGAACCCTTCTCTCTGTCTGTACGAACATGAGTAGTGGCTTAATTTCCCCACATCTTTAACGTTGGCTTAGACTAGACACTGGAGGTCTCTTTCAAACCTGAAATGCTAAAGTCTGTGACAACCTCATGGAGGGAGAAGCTGCCGAGTGGCCTTGGGACTTGAGGACTTACCTTCTTCCCAGAGGGTTAGCACATGTCCTGATTTCCAAATAGCTCGGCAAGTACAATCTGGGTGTGGCAATTCATGCTCAGGAGACTTCAAAGGTAGGACGTCAACATTGGGAAATGGTGAACGAACTTGCATCAAACCATAGCTAGACAGCCGGTCGCAGTGAGCAGCTTCCTGTGTGTTCCACCTGGCCTTCCAGCCAATAATACCCTCCGCCTGTGGCGGTGCCCTTCACTTGGACGAACCTTGGCTCTTCTGCTCCAAGGACAGCTCCTCATGGGGCCAGGAGTGATCAGCTTTGTGGGGGCCGCAAGAATGGTCTTTGCGACTCCCAGTGTTCCCCGTGGGTATCAAGGCAACAGGTTTCTGGTTCATTGGCTGCATGGTTGCAGTAAGTAAATAGCTTTTTTGCTTGCAGCCAGGATGACTTTTTCAAGGGTGCAAAAGGAATTTCTGTAACTAGGAGAGGGAGAGAGATGAACAGGGAGAAAGGAAAGGAGAGAGGGAGGGAGGGAGGGAAGCAGAGGGGAAGGGAGAGAGAGTCTACATACATTCCTTCCAGAATACAAAAAGCCACTACCTGGGTAGCCTTCTAGTAACTTTAGGGAAATGAGCTGCAGCACTCCTCGGCCAATCTGACATTTCTAGTCAATGAAAAAGACATAGGGTTTGAGGTTCCTTCCGAAACGGGGCCGGCGATTTTAGCCCCTCCCACGAGCCCAAGGGTCTGTTATATCTCTGTTCCTTGAGTACCTCTCTCACTGAGACGGACCACAGCAAGCAGAGGCTGAAAAAAATTAATAAATAAGAGGAAAGAGGAGGAAAACAAAAGCTGCTACTTATGGAAGATATAAAGGGTAAGACCAAAATTGCTTTGATCCGAATCCTTGAGGAAAAAAAAAAAAAAGCCCATACCAAACGCAAGTACTTGAAAGAGCAAGAGGCAAAAAGCCCTGAATGAACTTTCCCACCCTCTCCCTTCTGAGAGGAGGCAGAGAAAGAACTTTGGGAAACTTTTTAGGAAGCAGAGCCCAGGGTTGTAGTCAAGGGTGTCTCTTGCAGGCTGGAGGGGCTCATGAATATTCATTATCAATTTGTATTCAGGGCTGGTGTTTCAGAGGCAGATGGTTTTTTTTTTCCCCCCAGTCCCCCTGCAGTTTAAGAGCCAGCCGCCTCATCTGCAGTCCGGAGTCCTCTAGCCTCGGGTCTGTACCTCAGTGTGTTTGCTTGAAGATGCTGGGCTCTGTGTGTGGAAGATTTGTTTTGTTCTTGAATTTCCTGCGTGCTTTCCTGTTGTGAAATTAGCAAAGTCTTCTCTGCTGGGAGCTAGACAGAGAAGTTAATGTGGCAAGAGGCTGTCACAACAGGACCTCAGCGTATGTCTTTCAAAAAGCTGGAAGTTTCTTGAGATGAGTGGGGGAGCTGGAATGTGGGAGACGGAGGGAGGCTGGGGACAGCGGACGGGGGGACAGGCGTAGTTCTGTCTTAAAGAGCAGGTCATATCTGACTGATTACATTCAGATTTTGTCTACAAACTACAAGAGCAGCCTAGTTTGCAGAGATGGCTTGCGGTCTCTGTCTTTTACCTCTTTTGGGCATTTTCTGCCAGGACGGAGAGCCAGCCACTTGCCAGCCCATGGGAGCCAGGAGGAATCTCTGCAGCAGTGAGCGAGTGCAGGGCTGCAAACCTTTCTCTTCATTATCTCTAACTTCTAATATCCCTGTACTTTTTTCCCACGTAGAATGCGTAGGAATGAGATGGGGGAGCCAACAGTTTTCTTAATAATTATAATAATGATAGCTGTTAACATTTGCTCAGTCTTTATTCGCTGCCGGATGTGGTGCTAAGCATATTCCATGTGCTACTTATTCACCACATCAAGTTTATAAGTGCTGTCATCATCATGCCCATTTTCCAGATGACAAAGTTGAGGTGCCGAGAGGTCACTCGCCTGGGGATGGCAGAGTTCATCGGTGGCGGATGTGGGCACAGGCAGACGGAGGCAGGGCTGGGGGCTTTTCCCCCCCGCACTGCTGCTCTGCTTTCACTGATGCCCTGATGTTGTAGATTCCAGGTTTGCAAACCCTTGAAGCTACTGGGGAAACGATACTGATGAAATCTCAAGTCTGTGAAGGAATTTGTACTTTGCACTCAAGTTCACATACCTTTTTCTCATTTGCTGCTCGTGGCTATTCTCTATCGTGGAGACTCAGGTGTTGTTCTTATGGCCTCTTACAAAAGAGAGAAACTGAGGCCGGCAGCGGTAGGTGACAGGAATCCCACAGCGACTTGTCAGAAGTCTGGGTTGAATCAGAAGTCCTCTGCTTCGGGCTTTCTTCAGTCCTGCAGAGCGAGCCCAGTCAGCTCTGAACCTTGATCCCCACCCCCAGCCGGGCCTCACCAAGTCACTTTCAGTTCCCCAAAGGAGCTGCTCCTTTTCTGCCTCTGCAATTGCGGTGAGGTGCCCTCCCCAGCCTGGAGAGCCTAGCTGGCCCTCTCCTTCCCCTTTAGTCTAGAACCAACCTCCTGGGTTTGAATTTCAGTTCCGCCACTTACTGCGTGCCTCAGTTTCCTCATCTGTGAAATGAAGATACTAATAATATCTATCTCGTAGGGTTGCGGGAAGGACTGAATGAGGGATTCATGCAAGGTTCTTAGACCAGGGCCTGATGCATAGTATGTGCTCAATAAATACAGCTGCCGCTGTCACTCCTTGAAACCCCCTTTGAGCCAGGGTTAGGCCCCATCTTGGGTCAGTCTACAATACCTCCCCATGTCTGCTTCAGGTGGCACATTCCTGCCCACTGCGTCCTCTCTCCCCTCCCCAACTGTAATTTCTTTGTTCACCTTTGGATCTGCAGTGTCTAGTGCAATTTTTTTTTCAGTCTCTAAACTCACAGAGATTTTATTGTCAGTGTGGGTGAGGTGAGGGGAAAGGAGCCTCCATCGTGACAGACAGGCAGCAGCAGCCACAGAGGGCACCCATGCGGCCGAGAGCCTGGTGCCTGAATTCTCGCAGGGAGTGGTGGATGTCAGCACCGATTCAGAAAGAGCCACACATCATTCAGCGGTCAGTGGTCAGGGCGGCAGGGCAGCAAACTTCTCCACAGGTCCACAAAGGGGCCTCGGACATCTTTATTGTGGGTCAGCCTGGCAGCCACATCCACCAGCCTGTGGGACAGCTTCTTGAAGCTGGTGTCCATCTCAGAGAGCACGCTGAACTTTCGCCGAGGGCTGGTGCATGCCAGGCTCCTGGGAAACCCAGGAGGTCCTTGTCAGCCACTGGCACCTTGAGTTCCTTCATGGGCATGCTGTACACATTTAGTCAATGATCATCGGGCATCAGGAGCCTGGTTTAATAGGAGACCTCTGAGTTTGCTATCAGGCTCCCCCAGGGACCACACAGCTCTTTGGCGCCCTCTGTAAAAGACATCTCTCTAAGGGGATACATTGAGAAGCAGCAGGCAGCCCCCTGGGTGGACGATTTTCAGAGCTGCCGTGACACCATGCCAGGGCACTCCGCTTGGCCAGGGCAGCTCTGGCTGAACTTCAGCCTCCACACCCCAACTGTGCCAGGGGCCAAGCTGGAGATTTCACCTGCCTCATAGCACGACTTTGCCATTTCTGATGACTTTGCCATCTCTGAAAAGTGTCCCTCGGCCCCTTCTGTAGCAGCCTTGCTGTCCGAGATAGTGCACTCTGATAATGAAAGAAAAACAATGCAGAAGTTGGCCCTGGCTAAAATCATAAAGTACTTTAAGTTTTTTTTGTTTTTTTTTTTCCAGCACCCTCCCTTTCTTCTTCCTGGCATACCTTCAAACCAATTTGACAAATATTATTGTGTGTCTGCCATTTATAAGTCACGGTGCCAGATGCTTGGATAAACAGTTTGCTCATGGTTCAGTGGAGAAGACAGACATATACACAACCATCTCTAATCGAAGCCAGACTCTGTGAAGTGCTAATAAGAATAGCTAACGTTGATTATTTATTATGTGCCGGACATTGTAATGTTTTATACGTGTTGTCTCATGGAATTTTTCCAAAACTCCATGGTACTGGTTCCTGTATCCTTTTTTTTTTTTTTTGAGTTGGAGTCTCACTCTGTCGCCCAGACTGGAGTGCAGTGGCCGCTCCCGGTCACCGCGGCCTCGACCTGCTGGGCTCTGGTGATCCTTCCACCTCAGCCTTCCGAGTAGCTGGAACTACAGGCGTGCACTACCACGCCCGGCTAATTTTTTGATTTATTGTAGAGATGAGGTCTCACCAAGTTGCCCAGGTGGGTCTCGAACCCGCGGGCTCAGGCAATCCACTCACCTCAGCCTCCCAAAGCGTGGGATTACAGGCTGAGCCACCGAGCCTGGGTTGGTTCCTGCATCTTACAGGCATGGAAGGAAGTCATTTGGCCAAGGTCACACAGCTAGTAGTGGGCAAAAAGGGAATTTTGACCCATGTGGTTAGGTTGCAAAGCCTGGGATACTGACAGATTCGACCTCCCTGAGAGCTGTAATAAAAGTCTGTCCCAGATACTCAGCAAGCCGAGGCAGGGGGATCACTTGAGCCCCCAGGAATACATGACTGTAGTGTGCTCTCAGCACACCTGTGAATAGCATGCTGCTGTCCAACCTGGGTGACAGAGTGAGACTCTGTCGCTAAAAAAATTAAAAAGTTTAAAAAGGGAAAGTGCCATGAGAAACAGAATAGGCAGTTATAACTTCTGGGAAAGCTTTTCAAAAGATGAGATGCTTCTTTTGGCTCTAGAAAGATGAGCAAAATCTGGTGCCCACGGCAAGACCCTTCTCCCTCCCAACAAGGCTTAAAGATCTTTTCTCATGGGGTGTGGTTGTCTTACGCCTGTCATCCCAGCATAGTGGGAGGCAGAGGCAAGAGGATTGCCTGAGCCCAGAGGTTTGAGACCAGCCTGGGCAACTTGGCAAGATCTCATCTCTACAATAAATAAAAAAATTAGCTGGGCGTGGTGGCGCATGCCTGTGGTTCCAACTACTTGGAAGGCTGGGGTGGAAGGATCACCTGAACCAGCAGGTCGAGGCTGCAGTGGCTGTGAGCATGCCACTGCACTCTAGCCTGGGCGACAGAGACCCTAACTCAAAAACAAACAAACAAACAAACAAATAAACAAACAAGACCTTTTCTCTGTCTTACCAAAACTACTGCCTAGATTTAAGAGTGAAAATCTCCTTCTTCTTTTCCAGTTTCTGACCAGGCAATCGATTTACATGTCCAGTCTGGAGAGTTTAGCTTTGACTATGAGTCATGTAATCAAAAAAATCTTTATAAAGTAATCAGCTGCACATTAAGTGATTTCCCTAATTATGATTGTCCTGCGTGGTAATAAGATACATCTGGTAAACAGTTTTTACAAATGCTTGTGATCGGTATTGGTTTTACTAAGCCAAACCACGTTTTAAGAGTGTTTTCTTCCTTCTTTTTTTTTTTGATTGTTACTCTGCTCTTTATAACCAGTGCTTGTGTTCAAAGGCCATAGTGTTTAATCAATCCACCTGCTAATGTCCAGAGGTGCTGGCTCAGCCTGTGCAGAGTGAAGGGAAGGCCTGGGGTAAATCACAGAGTGTGTTTTTTGAAACTTCTGGAGGGAGGCCAAAAATCAAGGACAGCCCCTTTGGCGAAGAATCAACTGTCTTGATGGTTTGATGGAAGCGTGGAAGAACCAAGGCACTAGTTTTGTGCTGGAGAGAGAGAGAGAGAGAGAGGAGAAAAAGGGAGAGCACGCACTCGTGTGTGTGTGTGTGTGTGTGTGTGTGTGTGTTTCTCAAACTTTAACATGCATATGCTGCCCTGGAATCTTGTTGATATTCAGATGCTGATCCAGTCACT